ACAACAACATGGGATTTGTCTCTTTTTGTCAAAGCTCTGTTGAATTCCAGACCTCCATTTGTGCCTACCACCAAGAAAGGTTTAGTTGCTGGATTGAAATATTTGAAGAAAACAAGAAATGAACTTTGCCATACACCAAATGGAAAGATTGAAAACTCAGAGTTTTGTAATCTTAAAAATGATGTTTGTAATGCATTGGCACAAGTTGGTGCTAAATCAAAAGACTTTAAAAAAGTCAAAAAAGGTATTATATAATATACTGTATTTGTGTTTTCATTGCTTAAATGACAAATTTTCAACATCATTTAGTAGTGTACACACTATCTATACCTGTTAAACTAATAGAGATAAATATGAATGTTTGAAGAATGTGATCATTGAGGCTTGTCAATTACTCTGATAAGCAAAAGAGGACGCATATTATGGCACTTTTGACTTATATTGGATGATACAGAGGTTATCCTATGCTTTCTTCAAGCATGATGGAGTTTTGTGTGCGTATGCATCAGTTGCAGCTTGTTCATTAAGGTCAGGCGTATCAAGTTAATATCATCACAGTGGTTTCGATAATTTCCTTTTAATTTTTGTCACAATATTTTGTACAAATGCACGCCTTTGCCACAAAATGGTTTCTTCATTGCTTATTACCTCCTACTGTACATGACTTGAGAACATATTACTGACACAGGTCGCTTTAAGAGCTATTTGTTCTGACCTACTGAGGTTGTGTAAAAATCAAACTGAGGGTTTACTTTAATTATTGTTTTTGTTCTTTTTCGTATTGTTCTGATAATGAGGTGGATAGAGGTTTTTGGGAACAAAAAGGTACTAATGTTAGTGTCCTTTATAACATGTCCTAATGTGAGACATTAATGTGCATATGTGTCATTTTCAATGTTGCACCCCCCTGACAAATCTCCTGATCTGCCTCTTGTGTAATGGGCTTGTTAATAGATGATGTTGGTGAGAAAGGTTGCCTCAGCAGGGGGTCTTTTGTCTTCTAGAGTTACTGCACTAATCGGGGAGTTCTTTCATTTGTACATGTTACTACTTTTTGCATTCATCTTGCTATTTCTTTCGTTTTTTCACTATTGAATCTATTTATAAAAAAGGGTATAAAAAAGAGTGGGGATCCTCGTTGTCCGCTTTAGGGTTTGAAACCAGTGTTTTGGTCCCGCTTAGGGTGATAATGACAAGAATTCCCATCAATTGAGTTTTGTGGCCCCTTTTAGGGCAAACGACCAACCTAAGCCGTCATCATATATTTGGCAATGATAACATCATCATAAACTCAATGCGAGGCAACAGTCTTTGATGCTTGTGTAAAAACACAAATAAAATCGAGAAATCCCCCTCCTGCTATAGTCTGTCTCCTTCAAGGCATTGTGACCAGTGTAAGAAAAAAGTTCACAAAAGTTCCTCTGCAAAATTTATCCATGCATTTATAGTCTTGGTAGCTAGAAAATCACAATTGGTTGGTCCCTCTTAGTGGCGAAGTTTCATGACTGCCACGCCCATAAAGAATGTTATTAGTGCAATTGCTTGGGCTGCCTGTGAAAAAGCCTCAAAGGAGGAGGACTGTGTACCAGGAAGCCGAGGAATTTTAAGATCGAAGAGTAAGAGGGATCGAGTTCTCAGAAGATTTGGAGGCCCTTGGAAAATTTCACATTTAGATGTGTTGTAACTTCACATTTATGTTATGATCAGACATTTAAGACGATAATTCTTCGTTCTGATGAATAATACGGCTGGTTTGTGATGTCTAGACTGAGCTCAACGATGCCTTGAACGACATCCTGATTTTCTGCAACGAAGCATATTTTATATTTTCGTACATTTGATCACGAATTTCTCGTTGAGAAGAACTTCCATCAGGTAATTATAGTATTAAAATGTACAAGGATTTGATATTGATTTTATTTGAAATCTTTTTCATGAAAAATAAGGCCAGAATCAGATTGCAACAAATACGGAATACATTATGCTAATTAATCGATTCCCTCACATGTTTCATTTTAGCATACTTTATATTTCAGGATGCTTTGAGATGGAGGTGTATATGCAAATCAGTAAATATTGTTAAAGGATGCATGAAGAAGAAAGGTACAGTAATACTTTTAATAGAATTAATCATAGTTATAATAACTATGAATTAAATAATGGACCATGTACATGTACTTATCAATTTATCCCAGGATTTGAAGGGAGGGGAGGGGAGGGGTGGGGGGAATTGTCTTCCTAATGCTCTACCTGGCTACCTGCAGGGTCTACCTTGACATTGATGATGATCTACTCTAGATGAGAATTTGTGACTCAGATGCCTTTTATTTGCAAGGTTTTTGATGGGATGGGATTAATTCTAAACTGT